ATGGGTAAGACTAAAATCTCTAACACACACTGACAAAATACTTTTGCAATGTCTTCCTTCACACTTCTTTGAACCTAAGGAACCAGTACTGTTCACAGAGGTGGTTTAATGATTCCATTTCCAAACAGTATTTCTAATCAGTTTTTAAAAGCTATTTACAAAAGACCTATTCTACAACTTCTATTTTTAAATGCATCAAGCATCTCTAAATCTCTAGAACTAGATTTTCATGAAAAAATATGTCTGCTATAAATACAGCCCTAGTGCATGCCTGTAATCCCAGCACTTGAAAGGGTGAGGCAGGAAAATGGTTAAGTGGTTCCACCACCTGCCTTGCAAGTGCACGGGCCAGAGTTCAATCCCCTGTACCAAAAAAGAAAAAAACACAAAAATACAAAAAAGTTCACTGGCACAAAGCTTTTTCCATTTCCTTCTCTTCCTAAAAGAAGGGCAATAATGCAATATGTACTACTAAAGAGGGGGGTTAGCTCTTTCCTCCCATAAAAGGACACTTCATATAAGCTTAACCAATTTACAAAATGTATTATTTTGCTACTACTTTTGAACAGATAGCAGGGACTTGAGAACATTTAGAAATTTCAAGAAAGTCCTTATCAGTATTAACTTCACATGCAATAGTGAAGAATAAAATGCACATAAAAAACAAAGCTTTCAGTTTGAAAAAGTGATTTTCTTCCTGCTCACCATCACCAGAAGCTCCACGTCCTCTAATCCGCTGAATAGACGTGGACGAACGTGGGAGACTCAGCTGAGAAATGAATGGCTAACCTGGTTGAAAGCATGCAGGCTCTGTGGGGAGTGAACAGTTAAACAAGAAGAAGTTTAGGTCAGTGAGGCATGTTGTGTCTGACCATTGTCCTTCCCCTGAAACTGCCTAGCCTTGAGACAGTACCTTGGCCAAACTGCTTTTCGTTTTTTGCTCTTACACTGATACTCTAAATAAAAGCCAGGGAGTTCTTGGCTTCGGCGCTGCTCCTGGGAGCCTCCCTAAATTGAGTGCTCTCCGTTGAGTGCCCCTCTGGCCTCTTTGCGTTCAGACCAAGTCTCATTTCCAAGGCATCCTTCATCCTCTGTGCTACCGTGGTTGTACCCAGATGAATGTCTATAGCCCGTCCCTGGGCTCCAGCTCCGCAGGCCATGTGTGTCTGGAGGGCAGAGACAGCAGCTGGACCAAGGAACCCAGCTCTGGGCTCTAAGGGTCTGCAGGGCAAAAACAGCGGCCTGCACCCTGGGCCCATCTCCTAGGGCCATGTGTGGGCCCGGGGCAGAGGTCGAAATTGGTCCTGCTCACTAGCTGTGAGGGCCACGTGGGGGTCTGAGGTTGAAGAAGCATGTGGTCCCCTGGCCCAGGACTCTGTGTGGCTGAGCCAAAGTCAGTTCTTCAGCCCCAGCTCAGAGACCCTGTGGTCTGCATTGCAAGCGTAGCGGCTGGTCCTCATGGTGCAGCTCTGAGGGCTCAGTGGTCTCAGTTGTTTGTTTGCCTTGGCCCAGGTATGCTGTCCTGTGGTTCTGCTCAGCAAAGGCGTGGACCTGTCCAAGGGCCCAGCAACATGGAGAAGAGAAGGCCCAACCCCAGACTCAGCTCCAGGGCACAGTTGCTGCCAGGGACAGTTCTGAGGGCACACACCCATAATTCCTGCACTCTGGAGGTGAGGCCAGGGGACTGCAAATTCCAGTTCAGCCTAGACATCTTAGGGACTCGGACAGACCCTACCTCAAAATTAAAATTTATAAAAGAAACTGGGGATGTAGCTCTGTGCAAAGGCCCTGGGGTCAATCCTCATTACCACATTTAAAAAAAAAAGAAAATAATGGAGTTTAATTAGTCCTTTTGATTCAAAATCATTATTGAGGCTGATATTTAGAGACGGAAAATAATTTCAGGTGCTGTTTTTTTCTCATCAATAGTTCCAGAAGAGTAGATGCTATATTTTAATTTACTGATATTTTGGACAAGGGATGACAAGGGGTGAATGTTAGGATAAACCCTAGGAGATTAGAGAATTTAGAGGTCTATGAGAGTAATTTAATGTTACGATTCTAAGGTACTAGCCTAGATTCTATTGTTTAAGCACAACCGAAAGTAGTCACAGCAAGGGAGATTTTTTAGATAAAATGCACCAGGCCATATCTGTAGGAGCAGTATCATGACAGATGAAAATCCCAGTGTTTTAAAATGTTGTCAGTTACAAGACATTTAACGGAATTAGTTAACTGAATGAATAGGGATGAAAACTAGGAATTGGGCTATGGCAGAGAGTTGAGAAGACACCATGTATGCGGCAGACAGGTGTCAGGGCAGCGGCCATCAGCGTGGCTCACCACACTCTGGTGCTAGTATGGGGTCTGTGTGTGGATTCAGCGAGTAGATCTTTAGAGTCAAAGCCTGTAAGTGCTGGACTTTCTATGGTAGTGGAAGTGATAAATGGTAAGCCTTTAAACATAGATCTCCTGTTCTTTAAAAATAGATCTTCCTGTTCGTTGCTAAGAAAAACAGATCCCAGCACACAGAGTCTAGCTTTAGAAAGATGTACATGTGCCGATGTGCGTGATGCTAACTGTGGTTGTCTAACACCCATGGTGACTGTTACTAATCCTAGTTAACGGGAGGTGGGAAACGTGACTACTGTTTTAATGTCTAGGTTAAAGTGCAAGAGGGCCATAGCGTGGTTGTGCTGCCTACAGATATTACTGATGTTTGACTTGTTTTGTTATCTTGTGCTAATGGGTGGAAATGACTTAGCAGGGAAATTCCTGCTGCTGCCATAGCGCTGGGAGGGAGTGGAGCTGAGGCTGACAGAGGCCCCTCTGTTGCTGGTGGTAGTCGTGGGCCCAGGCCACGCTGGGCTGACTTACCTGGTGCTGCCGGTCACGACTGAGTTAGTGGGAGAAGCTCGGGCTATGGTTAAATATGACTATTTGTGCAACGCTCACACATTTGAGTATGTTAAAAGTCATGCAATGAACAGTATGAATTCAATCTACCAAAGTGGTCATATAAGATTAACTTGAAGAGCTGATGCTTTTGCCTTTATTTGATCAGATCATCATCCAAATAATAAAAATGATAATAATACTGATCCTTTCTCACCTGATGAAAAGTTGAGCGAGATTGTCACTGGTAACAGTTAGTATATTGATAAGGAATAAGAGTATTTAAAGAACTGATTAATCATGTACTATATGTTAACACGTGCTAATAAAAATGTCAAAAAACATGGAAAGACAAAAAAAGAGCTGATTAATACTGTGTATAAGCTGGGTGTGGTGTTGAATGCCTGTAATCCCAGCACTCAGGAGGCTGAGGCAGGAGGATCGCTGTGAGTTCAAGACCAGCCTGGGCTACATAGTGAGTTCCAGGTCAGTCTCAACTACATAAGGAGATCCTGTCTCAAAAAACTGAAAAAAAAAAACTGTGTATATATAAAAAAATAAAATTCTATGATCATATGCAAAAAATGTTACAGGTATAACATTATTGAAAAACAATCTAGTTACAGCTTGGAGTTTGATTAAAAGCTTAAACAGTTATTCAGTGCAGCTGGAAATAATTGTTAATAGCCTGACTAATATGAGGTTTTCCTTTCGACTAAAAATGAAAGCATAAGTTTTTTGTTTTTTGTTTTTTTGGCACCGGGGATCAAACTCATAAAAGCATAAGAGGTAGATGTCAAATGTACCTTAACTGTAACCTCGCCCCTCCCAAAGAGTATATCCTCCTTTGCCAAGCACTGGACAGGGCCAGCCTCACACCTGCCAACACAGACTGGTCCGCCGGCATTAAATAAAGCTTTACAGGGCCAGGAATTTAGCTTAGTGTTGCCGCCACTTGCCTTGCAAAGCTCAAGGATCCGAGCTACAATTGCCAGCGCTGTGTGAGTAAACAATGAGAAAGTGGTTAATCCATTTAGATCTGTTCAATGCACACACCAGAGTTTGTGATAATTACACCTCATAGCGGTACTGCGAGGACTGGATATTCTGAACCTGCTGTGTGTGTGTTTTGAGACAGGGTCTCACTATGTAATGAGACTGACCTAGAACTCACTATGTAGCCCAGGCTGGTCTCGAACTCACAGCAATCCTCCTGCCTCAGCCTCCGGAGCGCTGGGATTACAGGTTTGCGCTACCACACCCGGCTTAAGAGAAAACTCAAATTGTTAATCTTGAGGTGGTCCTGAATTGGACTCCTGGCACAAAAAAAAAAAAAAACAACTAAGAAGATACTGCGAATGACTTCATGCTCAAAATTGAGATTAGCAAAAAACAGAACATTGGGTGAGTCTCTGTCAAAGAAGCCCCATCTGCCTTTAGTGATGAATTCTACCCAACATTCCAAGAGGAAACAATGTCAAATATTTCATATAAACATAGAGCATAGAGAAAAATAGAATACTTCCTAATCATTTTTAGGAGACCAATTCCTACCAGGCCATTATAAGAAAAGAAATTACAGGCCGGGCATGGTGGCACACACCTGTAATCCCAGCACCTGGGAGGCTGAGGCAGGGGGATCACTGTGAGTTCGAGACCACCCTGAGCTACATAGTGAGTTCCAGGTCAGTCTCAACTACATAGTGAGACCCTGTCTCAAAAAACACGGAAAAAAAAAAAAAAAGAAAGAAAAAGAAAATGACAGGACAATACCTCTCATGAACATAACACAAAAATCCCAAGACCAAGAGGTCAGTTTTTTTTTCTAGGAAAAAATATAGCTTGATTTAAGAAAAGAAAGTCAATCAGTGTAGTTAACAGAGAGAAAACCTTATGATTACCTTATGATTACTTGCATAGGTAAGAAAAGAGAATTTGATAAAATTTAAATTCATGTATGAGAAAGACACGTGGAAAACTAAGAATAGAAGGCAACTTCTTTAATCTGCTAAGATTATATTTTAAAAATACCCTACTGCTAGCATTATACTTCATTTGAAGTAGGAGTAATTCATTAAATATAATAAAATATATCTTGCGTCTGTAACCAAAGTCCTAAGAGTCGCCCTTCTTGTAGCCACGGAGTCCAACCGAGTCACGTTTGTCCTTCAAGAAGCAGGGAGAAAACCCTTCCTCACAAGATGTAGTCTACGCTGCAGGAGTGGGACGAGCGCCGGTGGGAGGAGGAGGACTTCTCCCAGCCCTCCTTGGGAATCTGTCTCCTTCTGTAGAGGAAGAAGTGGCTATAACACTTCAGAAATACCTCTGAGAGGTGTTTCTTGAACTTCTCACCCACAAAAGCGTAGATAACAGGGTTCATGCAGCAGTGGGTGAAGGAAATGGTCTCTGTGACATGGGTGGCATAGGTCAGCCACTGGCTCACGCTGCACCCATCCAAGATGTGCAGACTGTGCAGGGATCTGAGGAACAGGACCAAGTTGAATGGGATCCAGAAGACCAAAGATGCTACTACCACAGTGAGCACCAACACGATGGCTCTGGTCTTCCTGTGGTTCTGGCAACTCCTCAGCTGGCGCAGGACGCTGATGTAGCAGAACAGAAAGATGGTGAATGGGATCAGCAGGCCTACAATGTTGATTTCAAAGTGAATGAATATCTTCCACTCCAGAGCCTGCTGATTGTAAAACGAGTAACACTTTAGAATGCCATCTTCAGAGGACACTTGGTAAAAGACTAACATTGGGCTGGTGGCCACAAGACTGGCCAGCCATGCTGCCAGGCTCAGGCCTATGCCCACCCTGGCCATCCTCACTTTCATGGCATACACAGCGTGTACAATAGCTAGGTACCTGTCCAGGCTCATGAGGGCAATGAAGAACATGCTGCTGAAGAAGCCAATATAGTAAAGGCCAGAGACAACTCTGCACATCACAGTCCCAAACACCCACTGGTCCATCTGGTAGTAGGCTTGAAACGGCAAAGAGAAGACAAAAAGCAGGTCAGACAAGGCCAGGTTCAACAGGTATATGTCTGTGATGCTCCTCAGCTTCTTGCAGACCACGAGGATCAAGATGACCAGGCTGTTTCCCAAAAGGCCAAAGATGAACAGGAAGCAATAAATAACGACAAGGAGCAACTTGCTGTCCCTAACGCCGAGTCCCCCATTGCAGGGGCTTGGGAAGAGGTCAGGATAGTAGTAATCGGTCATCAGTGTTGCATTGGGCTTGAGGGTATAATCCATCAAGGCACAGGGACCTGGTCACAGAAGAGAAATTACCTCCTTCATATTTTTACTTTAAAACTCTAGGAGAAGTTGTACATTGAATGGTGTTGCCTCCCCATTTCCTGTGTGACCCAAGATCATTCCCAAAGTGACCCAAGACAGAGCTACAAAGGAGTAATTAAGGTTAAAGGAGGTCGTAGAGGTGGAGCCGAACCTCCTCTCCCTTTCCTCTCCCCCTCTTCTTTCTTACATAAAATGAGAAAACTCCTTACAAATCTCTCTTCCTCCCTCCCTCTGTTCCTTCCTTCCTTTCTTCCTTCTTTTTCTTTTATATCAGAGAAGCTGAGTTTCTTTTTCACGACTCCATGTATTCTCTGACACCAGAGCTAACTACTCAAACCCCTTTGGTAAGTGTTAGTCCAGAGTTCCTCCCTATACTTTTACATTTGTATGTCTCCATAAATTATATATCATACTGCTTTTTGGTTTTTTTCCAGTGTCTGGGATCAAACTCAGGACCTTGAGCTTGTGAGGCAGGCAGGCGGCCACTGAGCTAAATCCCCAGCTTGTGATAATTGTTTTATGTTTACTTTCTCCCTTTCTTTCTCCCTCCCTCCCTCCCTCTTCTTTCCTTTCTTCCTTCTTTCCTTCCTTCATTTCCCTCTCCCTCTTCTTCCTTCCTTTTCTCTCTTCATGCCTTCTTTCCTCTCTCTCTCTTTTCTCCTGTCTTCCTCTTCCCTCCCTCCTTTCTTCTCTTGTGATACTAGAGATTGAACCCAGAGCTTCTCCGAGTGCTGTCATGCTGAGTTACAGCCCCTGACTCTTTTGCATTTTAGTGTCTTGCTTAGGCTTGCTAAACTGCCCAGGCTGGCCTCTGACTTGCAATCCTCCTCAACCTTCAAGTGGCTGGGACTGCAAGCATGCACCACCACACCCAACATCACTTTTAACTTACATAAATGATATGTTTCTCACTTTGTAGTTTACTTGTTATTTTAGAGATATAGTGACATGGTGTCCACGCTGAATTCCTTCTTTTCGCTGCTTTCCTAAACACCAGAAATAGCTAATATAAAAGTGCAATAGGTAAAGTGAGCCTAATTATATTAAAAATGAAAGTGATCAGGTTTGTAAGAAATAAACCTAATTAAAGCGGTAACTCAGAATTCAGTTATGTAAAATATAGGACCTGGGGGTGAAGCTCAGTGAAGGATCACTAACTCAGTACGTGCAAGGCCCTGGGTTCCCTCCCCAGCGGCAAAAAGAAAAGAAAAAAAGAAGTTAAACTTCATTCAAAAGCATCAAAGCAGACATGACATGAGTAATAGGAAATATATTCTATCTGTGAAGACTGACTCCCCTCAGATGCACAGTGAGGGATCTGTTCTTACCACATTTTGCCCTGGTGTAGAAGCCTGCAGTCTCCTCTGTCCCCAGAGAAAATGGGGCAGCCACTAGGGCACATGCAGAGTCTGTGGCTCTTGGGACATGCAAAGATTGATTAAAATTCCTCTCTGAGACACTGGCCTTGTCTTGGTCTCTTGCTAAGGATGTACAGGTCCCCCTGCCCACTTGCCCCCTCTTCCCCAAGGTGCTCTTAGACTGTACCTTAATACAGCTGCTGCTCCAGAAGCCTCCACCTTGGTGATTCCTTCTAACCTTCAAGTGTTGCTCTTTTAATACTATGCTGTCTCACCCTGGGCTCAGATGTGGGACTTTTTTTTTTTCAGGTGGAGGCACCACTGAGCTAAATCCCCAGCCATATTTTTTTTTTAAATAAATCTGAAAGGTAGAAAATATAAAGCCCTCTCTTATCTTGATTTCAAATTGACTCCACCTATTTTTTTTTTTTTTT